ATGGCCTCTGAAAAATATTCTTTTAAAAAATCCACGCCTTATGATGGATGGATGGCCTCTGAAAAATATTCTTTTAAAAATCCACGCCTTATGATGGATGGATGGCCTCTGAAAAATATTCTTTTAAAAATCCACGCCTTATGATGGATGGATGGATGGCCTCTGAAAAATATTCTTTTAAAAATCCACGCCTTATGATGGATGGATGGCCTCTGAAAAATATTCTTTTAAAAATCCACGCCTTATGATGGATGGATGGCCTCTGAAAAATATTCTTTTAAAAATCCACGCCTTATGATGGATGGATGGCCTCTGAAAAATATTCTTTTAAAAATCCACGCCTTATGATGGCCTCTGAAAAATATTCTTTTAAAAATCCACGCCTTATGATGGATGGCCTCTGAAAGATATTCCTCTGAAAAATATTCTTTTAAAAATCCACGCCTTATGGATGGCCTCTGAAAAATATTCTTTTAAAAAATCCACGCCTTATGATGGATGGATGGCCTCTGAAAAATATTCTTTTAAAAATCCACGCCTTATGATGGATGGATGGCCTCTGAAAAATATTCTTTTAAAAATCCACGCCTTATGATGGATGGATGGCCTCTGAAAAATATTCTTTTAAAAATCCACGCCTTATGATGGATGGATGGCCTCTGAAAAATATTCTTTTAAAAATCCACGCCTTATGATGGATGGATGGCCTCTGAAAAATATTCTTTTAAAAATCCACGCCTTATGATGGATGGATGGCCTCTGAAAAATATTCTTTTAAAAATCCACGCCTTATGATGGATGGATGGCCTCTGAAAAATATTCTTTTAAAAATCCACGCCTTATGATGGATGGATGGCCTCTGAAAAATATTCTTTTAAAAATCCACGCCTTATGATGGATGGATGGCCTCTGAAAAATATTCTTTTAAAAATCCACGCCTTATGATGGATGGATGGCCTCTGAAAAATATTCTTTTAAAAATCCACGCCTTATGATGGATGGATGGCCTCTGAAAAATATTCTTTTAAAAATCCACGCCTTATGATGGATGGATGGCCTCTGAAAAATATTCTTTTAAAAATCCACGCCTTATGATGGCCTCTGAAAAATATTCTTTTAAAAATCCACGCCTTATGATGGCCTCTGAAAAATATTCTTTTAAAAATCCACGCCTTATGATGGCCTCTGAAAAATATTCTTTTAAAAATCCACGCCTTATGATGGCCTCTGAAAAATATTCTTTTAAAAATCCACGCCTTATGATGGCCTCTGAAAAATATTCTTTTAAAAATCCACGCCTTATGATGGCCTCTGAAAAATATTCTTTTAAAAATCCACGCCTTATGATGGCCTCTGAAAAATATTCTTTTAAAAATCCACGCCTTATGATGGCCTCTGAAAAATATTCTTTTAAAAATCCACGCCTTATGATGGATGGCCGGCCTCTGAAAAATATTCTTTTAAAAATCCACGCCTTATGATGGATGGCCGGCCTCTGAAAAATATTCTTTTAAAAATCCACGCCTTATGATGGATGGCCTCTGTAAAATATTCTTTTAAAAATCCACGCCTTATGATGGCCTCTGAAAAATATTCTTTTAAAAATCCACGCCTTATGATGGCCTCTGAAAAATATTCTTTTAAAAATCCACGCCTTATGATGGATGGATGGCCTCTGAAAAATATTCTTTTAAAAATCCACGCCTTATGATGGATGGATGGCCTCTGAAAAATATTATTTTAAAAATCCACGCCTTATGATGGCCTCTGAAAAATATTCTTTTAAAAATCCACGCCTTGTGATGGCCTCTGAAAAATATTCTTTTAAAAATCCACGCCTTATGATGGCCTCTGAAAAATATTCTTTTAAAAATCCACGCCTTGTGATGGCCTCTGAAAAATATTCTTTTAAAAATCCACGCCTTATGATGGCCTCTGAAAAATATTCTTTTAAAAATCCACGCCTTGTGATGGCCTCTGAAAAATATTCTTTTAAAAATCCACGCCTTATGATGGCCTCTGAAAAATATTCTTTTAAAAATCCACGCCTTATGATGGCCTCTGAAAAATATTCTTTTAAAAATCCACGCCTTATGATGGATGGCCGGCCTCTGAAAAATATTCTTTTAAAAATCCACGCCTTATGATGGATGGCCGGCCTCTGAAAAATATTCTTTTAAAAATCCACGCCTTATGATGGATGGCCTCTGTAAAATATTCTTTTAAAAATCCACGCCTTATGATGACCTCTGAAAAATATTCCTTTTAAAAATCCACGTCTTATGATGGATGGCCTCTGAAAAATATTCTTTTAAAAATCCATGGCCTCTGAAAAATATTCGTTTTAAAAATCCGCACCTGTAGTACTTGTTTTGAAAATTATTATGTGGTATTGCATAACTAAATCTTTAGCAAACATTTTCGATAAGATTTTGCATTCAAACCCTAACACGTGCCTTAAACAATTTGGATATATCGCATGACCTTGGCCTTGTATTAAATATGTTATTATAGTATACAAACCTCTTCTAATGCTCTAGATTTTTTTCATAGAATAAAATGCAGTGGTTTGTTCAGCGATAAGAAATAATATCGAAATACAAACATTGTACGTAGAAAGCTCTGCAGCCGGCAAACAGAAACATTCGAAATTTCTAATTGATTTTTAAAAATATTTTTTCCATTGCCTCAGTATAAAATAAATAAATTTTTGAGGGTCCAACATTGGGTTGGTTTTTTTTAAATTAATTTTCCATGGCCTCAACATAGGCCATAATTTTTCAAGGGTCAGTGATTTTTTTCTAAATTATTTTATTGTGGTTTTTTATTTGTATTTAAATATATTTCAAAATTGAAACATCCTCCCAATCAAAGCCTCAAATTCATGCCTTAATTCCCTATCGAAGTGTTGCCTTTCGTCCAGGGTAAAAATCATATTCTGCACGTTAGTCGAATAAATACAACGATCAATAAAATGGCTCATACCCTGAGGGCATTTACAATGACCCTGTGGTGTACAGCTACCACCATCCAAACAATGTTGATGTCCAGGGCCACAGGCACACACATTCGGTGCGATGCAATGACCATAAAGGCCACAACCACTATAAGAGATAAAATTATTATTTGACAAAAAATATCCTCTGCCTCATACCTCACCTTTCACATATCGGCTTACAGGTATTATCCCAAAGATAATAACCCTCAAAGCATTTACAGATTCCCGGAGCTATACACACGCCATGATCACAGGCCTCAGGACACTGGGCTAGGCAATTTTGACTTTGCGGATCATAAGCGAAACCAATGTGGCACTGGCATTTATAGGGTGATTCACAAAAGCCATTTTCACAATTTCTGAAAAAAGTTTGCCAAAGAATCGAATTTTAGTAAAAATTTTACAAAATCCAAAATTTTTTTCACACATACATACGCATAACATTCCGATTCACAAATTTCCCTCCCCTTCCTCTTAATGTAGCCGGGAAAACATTCACACTGCTGTGGTCCAATACAACGACCATAACCACAATGGGGTTGACATATTGGCTGGCAACCCAAACCCTCCAGCCATTGATAACCCCTCTGGCAGCGACATTCCCCGGGGGCCACACATATCTGATTCAGTCCACATGGTATGTGGCTACATTCTGGTAGACAATATTTCCTAGTCTCCGGATCTAGGCTATAGCCAGGATTACACAAGCAATCACCATTTAATAAGCAGCGACCATTCAAACAACCCACCGGACAAATGTGGACACAATTTCCCCGAGAATCTCTCACAAAGCCCTCAAAGCATTCGCATTGGTGGGTAGAGCGGCAGAAACCGTTGCGGCAATTATCCGCCGAAACTTTGGAGCAGTCGGGGATACACTTGAGAGTACTTCTCACCTTGGGATCTCTACGATATCCTTCACAGCAAATTTCAAAACTCAAATGGCCAGCAATGGAGGAATTTCCACGAAGTGGTTCATGCTCTCGGGTTTGGAAAAAATAGGCTCTACAATAAAAAAACCGAAATTATTTTTAATTCGGAGAAAAAAAATATTTAAAAAAAATGACTTACGGTACATCTTTGTAGCACTTCTTTTCCCGCTGCTGGCTATCAAAATATAAATTTAGCTCTGCTCGGGTACTGGGATAAATATCGCCATATATCTCCTGGCATTTGGTAGACATATTCCAAAAACCCAAGATGCTTAGGAAAATCAAATAAATTTCCAATATTCTCATGGCACGCATAATGGCTTCTAAAATGGGTTGTTTACATGTAAATAGTTTGAATTTAATCTCGGCTTATCAGTATGACAGATTCTCCCCCCATACCCTGCACTAGGTTACGGAATTTGTTTACCAAAACCAATCACTAAGAGATGAGAGCTAACAATGATGTCAATAGAGCCAGAAAAGCATTCGGCGTAGTTTTTTTTTTTAAATAATTTTTAAGACCTCAACATAGGGGTGGATTTTTTAAAATAAAATGATAAGGCCTGAACATAGTCGTGGATGTTTTAAAATAAAATTTTTAAGGCCTCAGCATAGGCGTGGATTTTTTAAAATAAAATTGTTAAGGCCTCAACATAGGACTTGAATTTTTAAAATAAAATTTTTAAGGCCTCAACATAGGCTAGGATTTTTCAAAATTAATTTTTCAATGCTTACCATAAGGCGTGGTTGGCGTAGAGGATGATAGATACCAAGCAACGGCTCTGATTGGCTTTAACATGACTTATCTTGGTTCCTCTTTCATCTCAATTATGGACACTGACACCTCCCCGCGGTGTCACCTGGGGTAGCTATTTTTCATCACCCGTTGAGATAGTGAGTTAAAATGTGCCGCGACTTCACCCATAAGAACTAATAAAAATGGGTTGAGGAGTCGGATTAGTTGCCCACATTCGAAAAACCAAACTTACTATGAAAAAGCAAAGAAAACCAAACCCCCCTAATGATGAGGACCCCCGCAAACGTATAAAGGACCACGATCTGCGAATCTGCACTTGGAATGTGCGCACTTTGTACAGTTTTCGCTTTGGCGGATGTAATCAAGAAGTATAAAGCCTTACAGGAAATGCGATGAAAAGGGACAGGCGTAAGTAAATCAGACGATTATGCACTGTATTATAGCTGCCATGAAACGAGACGTGAATTTGGCTGCGGATTTATGGTTAATAGGAGAACAAAAGACCTCGTCTCCAGATTCACTCCAGAAGATGGGCGAATTGATATAATTCGCATAAAAGCGAATTTCTTCTACATCAGTCTTATTTGTGCCCATGCTCCGGCCTAAATTTCTGCTAGGAGATTTTAATGCAAAAATCGAAAGGGAAAATATCTTTGGCCCCACCGTCGGAAAATTCAGCTTTCATGAAGAAACATCAGACAACGACATGAGGTTGATTGACTTCGCGGCAGTGGTAGTTAGCAGCACCAGATTCAAGCATCTCGATATACACAAAGGCACCTGGATTTCTCCTGATCAAGCAACGAGAAATCAAATCGATCATGTTGTGATAGACGGAAGGCATTCATCCAGTGTATTAGATGTTCGATCGATCCGAGGAGCGAATATCGATTCGGACCACTACCTTGTAGCAGCCAAGGTTCGCACTCGTCTTAATGTAGAAGCAAAGGTACGATCTAATCACGGAAACTTGACGTCGAAAAGCTGCAAACACAACAGATAGCAGAAGCCTACTCCGTTCAACTTAACCACCTGCTTGAAGAAAGCACTTCTTGTCCTGATAGTATAGTATAGAAGCACAATGGCAAAGAATTACCCACAAACTGCAGCAAAAGCAACACTTGGGTACAAAAAACCACCACCAAAAACGCGGCGTATAGGGCAACCCTGCAGACGGCATGAGGTTGATTGACTTCGCGTCGGCAAAAAACATGGTAGTTAGCAGCACCAGATTCAAGCATCTCGATATACATAAGGCCACTTGGATTTCTCCCGATCGAACAATGAGAAATCAAATCGATCATGTTGTGATAGACGGAAGGCATTAATCCAGTGTATTAGACGTTCGGTCGATCCGAGGAGCGAATATCGATTTGGACCACTACCTTGTAGCAGCCATGGTTCGCACTTGTCTTAATGTTGCAGTAAAGGTGCGATCTAACACAATACGGAAACTCGACGTCGAAAAGCTGTAAAGACAAGAGGTAGCCGAGGCCTACTCCGCCCATCTTACCCATCTGCTTGACGAAAGCACTTCTTGTCCCGATAGAAGCACAATGTTCACTCCCCACAAACTGCAGCAAAAGCAACACTTGGGTAACAAAAACCACCACAGAAACCCATGGTACGATCAAGCGTGTCGTAATGCTACTGATGTGAACGCAGCGTATAGGGCAACCCTGTAGGCAGCAGCAACACGTAATGGGATGGAGAATTATCAGGAGAAAAGGAGCGAGGAGAAACGTGTTTTCAGAAAAAAGAACAAGAAAAACATGAGCGTGAGCAAATCGAGATGTACAGGAGTCAGAATGAAGTCCAAAAATTCTACCAACGGGTAAAACACCAAGCCGAAGACTTGGTGCAGGCCCATCCTCCTGTAGAGATAAAGAAGGAAACCGGGTGACAGATACAGACAGCGTGCTGAGGAACTTGGAGGAGCATTTTGAAAAACTTCTGGTATCAAATAGTGGCGGTGAAGAAGATACCCCAGAAACAATAATAGATGATGGTATAGAGTGTATACCACCTAGCAAAGATGAGGTCATAAAAGCAATCAATCCGCTGAAGAATAATAAAGCTGCAGGTGCCGATGGTTTACAAGCCGAACTATTCAAGACTCAGATGTTGGTAAGGAGCATGCACCAGCTGATTAGTACAATTTGGCTAGAGGAATGCATGCCCTATGATTGGAACCTTAGCATCCTGTGTCCCATGCACAAAAAAGGAGACAAAACGACATGTGCCAATTATAGAGGAATAAGTCTCCTTCCCATCGAATATAAAGTGCTATCCAGTGTGCTTTGTGAACGACTGAAGCCAATGGTCAATGACATTATTAGACCATACCAATGCGGCTTCAGACATGGCAAATCCACCATTGACCAGATTTTAACTCTGCGCCAAATCCTGGAAAAAATACCACGAAAAATACATCGACACATACCATCTATTCGTCGACTATAATGTCGCATTCGACAGCCCTATCCGTTCAGAGGTGTATAATGCCATATCTACGTTCGGCATTCCTGAAAAATTAATTCGGATATGCATTCGGATAACTGACACAAGATCAGCATTTAAAGTAGGAAATGACCTATCGGAGCCCTTCAATACCGAACGAGGATTCAGACAAGGTGGCAGTTTGTCGTGTGACCTTTTTAACATCCTGCTGGAAAAGGTCATACGAGGCGCAAAGGTGAACAGAAATGACACTCTGTAGTCCAAAGAACACATGTTATTCGCCTACGCCGATCACATCGATATGATGGGTCGAACATTGCGAGCCACCTTTGAGCAAATTGAGAAGGAGTCTGCCAAAGTGAAGACCAAGCTGATGGTATCAACGCGCAAGACGTCCAGTAGACTCGGACCAACTGTGGAACTTGAGAACTACAGCTTCGTGGTAGTTATAGATGTTATATACCATGGTATCGCCATAAATGAAACGAATGACATCAGTTTTGAAATTCGGAAAAGGATTGTGGTGGCCAACAGATGCTACTATGGTCTGAGCAAATAACTCAGAAGCAAGGCCACCTCCCGCCAAACCAAACTCACACTTTACAAGACGCTGATACTGGTATATGGATCTGAAGCATGGGTACTTGCGCAAGCCGATGAGACAGCTCTTGGGGTATTTGAAAGAAAAATTCTATGAAAGATCTACGGGCCGATCTGCAGCTACTACGGTGGCTAGGCCATGTTGTGCGAATGAATAGAAATGCCCCAGCTCAAAAGGCATATAAAAGTGAGCCTACTGATGGTTCCCGTTGAAGGGGAAGGTCCTACTATAAGGCGTGGATTTTTTAAAATTAATTTTTCATGGCCTACTATAAGGCGTGGATTTGTTAAAATTAATTTTTCATGGCCTAATATAAGGCGTGGATTTGTTAAAATTCATTTTTCATGGTCTACTATAAGGCGTGGATTTTTTAAAATTCATTTTTCATGGCCTACTATAAGGCGTGGATTTTTTAAAATTCATTTTTCATGGCCTACTATAAGGCGTGGATTTTTTAAAATTCATTTTTCATGGCCTACTATAAGGCGTGGATTTTTTAAAATTCATTTTTCATGGCCTACTATAAGGCGTGGATTTTTTAAAATTAATTTTTCATGGCCTACTATAAGGCGTGGATTTTTTAAAATTTATTTTTCATGGCCTACTATTAGGCGTGGATTTTTTAAAATTTATTTTTCATGGCCTACTATAAGGCGTGGATTTTTAAAAGAAAACGTATCAGGGCCTACTATAAGGCGTGGATTTTTTTAAATTTATTTTTAATGGCCTACTATAAGGCGTGGAGTTTTTTAAATCTATTTTTAATGGCCTACTATAAGGCGTGGATTTTTGAAAATTTATTTTTAATGGCCTACTATAAGGCGTGGATTTTTTTAAATTTATTTTTCATGGCCTACTATAAGGCGTGGATTTTTTTAAATTTATTTTTCATGGCCTACTATAAGGCGTGGATTTTTTTAAATTTATTTTTCATGGCCTACTATAAGGCGTGGATTTTTTAAAATTCATTTTTCATGGCCTCCTATAAGGCGTGGATTTTTTTAAATTTATTTTTAATGGCCTACTATAAGGCGTGGATTTTTTAAAATTTATTTTTAATGGCCTACTATAAGGCGTGGATTTTTTTAAATTTATTTTTCATGGCCTCATATCTTTTGAAAATAAAAAAATGTTATTAAATTCGACCTTTATTTATGAAAATCAAATTTTTTGGAAAATTTTACAAAAAAAAAAAATATTTAAAATAAAAAAATATATTTGAAAATTATAAAACTAAAATAAAATATTAAAATATAAATATTTGCACATAATTTTTTTTATTTTTACTTAAATATGGGTGATTTTATGCGATGTATGGGTGTGTTGTGGCACTTGAAGATATTTTGTATTTTGTGGCGGAATTATTAAATGTGAAACGTGATGAGTGGCCGAGGTCGAGCCGGGAGATGTTGCAACCTGTTGATGATGTCCTGACGTGTGGTGGGTCCCCGTTTGAAATTGTGCATGTCCTTGCTGCTGACTGAAGTTGCCAAAATGTTGTAACTGTTGCTGATGGGCGACTGGTTGCTGCATGGACTGATGTTGAGGCTGCGGTTGCGACTGCTGTTGACTATGATGATGTTGCGTATGCTGATGCTGTGGTATATAAACATTATGTTGGGTGGAATGATGCTGAGGCTTGGTGTGTGCATGATGCTGATGGTGTTGATGATGCTGCATGGCCGTGGGATATCGAATCTCATCGTAAAGATGTGAATCCATGCTACCCTTGCGGGACTTGGGTGTTACCACCGAATACAATGACTCCTTGCGGGCATAGGCATAGGAATTTATTGTGGGTACCGGGGATATGGTTATGGAGGAACTATTACTGGGTGAGTCATACAAGTCGGGTTCTAGAAGATTGGAGGGAAAAATAATTATTTAAAAATTAAAATTGAAAAAATATCATTTTCCAAAAGTTGCTTCCTGTTCCGCTCAAGACACTTACATACCCTCGATTTTATTGCGTACCATCTGCGTAAAGGCGGGCAAATCCGGCAGGGGTTTTAGAAAACTTTTCCCCATTGTTCCGGTATTACCTCCGGGCGGTAGATTACCACTGTTTAAGTCCTGCATAAGCTGATCATTGGTATAGGGTTGAAGACCCGGTGTGGGTGGGGTAATAATAATGGCCGAATTGGGATTGGGGGATGGCAAACTAACATTTCGTGCCGCCAATGCTGCCTCTACCTGGGCCTTTTGTAAATGATAACGCCGGTAGACATAAAGGAAACCCATTCCAATACCAAACATTATAATGAGCAGGATAACCAAAAGGGTGGTGAGCAAACTATTTTCATGATCGGAATTATGCGTGTCATTAGAATTTTGACTTTCCTCTTTGGTTGCCGGGTGGCCACCAAATCCAGCTAAATTTAGTTTCTCCTCCTGTGTGACATTATGTTGTTGTCCTGGCCACCCAGTGATGACATGTATAACCTCTGGGGTCTTGGCAGCGGCATGTAAATTATCCAACAAACCCTGGCCCTGTTGATGTACGATGATTTTGGGGGTATGCGGAATTTCCGGCTCCTGTTTTATGACAATGACCTCTGGAATAGCGGCTGGAGCTGTTGTCACCTCCAATATTTGTGGTGGTAGATTTATGGGTTCCGGCGTTGTACTGGTTGCAATATTGACAATATTTTTAGCAATGCGATCCAAGTTGTGGGTTATATTGACAATTGTAGAATTTAGGGTGGCTATCATGACATGGGTGGCATTTGGTGCCAAAGAGGGATCGATTGCGGGTGGATCGCAAGCCCCCGTCTGAGGATGGCATAATTTATTTTCACACTCGCAAGCCTTGCGGCACATTACACCATAGGTGCCCTTGGGGCAGGGTTTTTCGCAGCTGGAAGGAAAAAAACGAGAAGAATAAAAACCAGTAAGGAAAGCAGTAAAGTCGGACTGGGCTGACTATATGATACCCCTCACCACTTTGGGTATATTCTACATATGTATCCTAAAAGACGTCGCCTTGCCAGAGATTAATTTATACTAACTTCAGTACGTTGTGTCAATCGGCCTAGCTATGGAGCTATATCTAAATCTGAACCGATTTTCACGAAACTTAGCACACATCATTCTGGGCCCAATTCAGTATCCTATGCCAAATTTCGTCATTCTGGACCTACTTCAGTATTCTATGCCAAATTTCGTGCAAATCGAAAGATATATAGGGACTTCAGTGCACCATTTACCTTAAATCGGACGAAAATATATATGGGACCTTCATCTAAATCTGAACCGATTTTCACGAAACTTGGCAGACATAACTCTAGTCTCAATTCAGTAGGCTATTCCAAATTTCGTGCAAATCGAAAGATATATAGGGACTTTGGTGCACCAGTTACATTAAATCGGACGATCATATGTATGGGATCTATATTTACATCTGGACCGATTTTCTCGAAACTTTGCAGACATCACTCTAGGCTCAATTCAGTACGTTATGCCAAATTTCGTGCAAATCGAAAGATATATATGGACTTTGGTGCCCCATTTACCTTAAATCAGATGAAAATATATATGGGAGCTATATCTAAATCTGAACCGATTTTCACGAAACTTAGCAGACATCACTCTAGGCTCAATTCAGTACGTTATGCCAAATTTCGTGCAAATCGAAAGATATATATGGACTTTGGTGTACCATTTACATAAAATCGGACGAAACTATATATGGGAGCCATATCTAAATCTGGAACGATTTTTACGAAACTTAGCAGACATCACTTTAGGCTCAATTCACTATGTTATGCCAAATTTCGTGCAAATCAAAAGATATATAGGGACTTTGGTGCACCATTTACCTTAAATCGGACGAAACTATATATGGGAGCTATATCTAAATCTGGACCGATGTTTACGAAACTCTGCAGACATCATTCTAAGCTCAATTCAGTACGTTGTGCCAAATTTCGTGCATATCGAATGATATATAGGGACTTTTGTGCACCATTAACCTTAAATCGGGCGAAAGTATATATTGGAGCTATATCTAAATCTGGGCCGATTTCCACGATAGTTGGCAGACATCATTCTGGGCTCAATTCAGCACGTTATGCCAAATTTCGTGCAAATCGAAAGATATATCTATATATCTATCTAAATTTGAACCGATTTTCCTGAATTTCAATAGGGTTCGTTCTTGGGCCAAATAAGTGACTTGTGCCAAATTTCATCCAAATCGGATCATAAATGCGATCTGTACTTCGGTTACAATTTAACATCTACAGACGGACGGACATGCATAAATCGACTCAGAAAGTCTTTTTAGGGTTTTTAAAAATACTCACAATTCTCCCGTCCATCCCATGGTACAGTGACAGGTCCCCGATTTATTATCACATGCGGCTCCATTGTGACACTGACACACATTTTTACACTCCAGGCCCCAGTGGTCGTGATCACAACCTGCAAAGAATTATTTTTTTTATTATTTTCTCTTAAAATTCCATTCCTCATACTTACGCTGTGTACAATGTTTGCCCATATAACCCGGTTCACAGCTACACACATCGGGTTTCAGACAATAGCCACGACCACAACCACTGCGACAAACCGGCTTACATACCGTATCATTTATCGATAAATTGCCATCGTAGCCGGCGCAACAAAATCGTATGGTTCGGGTCTTGGTGATATTCTGTAATGAGAAAAGGAAAAATAAAATTAATTTGTCAGCCTGAAAGTATGCTACACTTTTTGCACATTTAACAAAAAGCGACAATAGTGGTGAAATAGTTTCATATGTGGTGAGGTGAGTTTGGATTTCTAATTTATGAATTTTTTCAATGGGAATTATTCCAAATAGGCCTCTCATCCTATATGTCTTAAGGTGTCTCCCAAGAATGTCACCCCCAGCCATCTTCACTCTAACCTCACATAGTTGTCTCTCTCGCCTCTATCTCCTTGCTGACGAAGCAATAAAGTTCAAGTATCATTTAATCGATATAGGCAACAAAGCAATTGAAAAGGGCACTCAGATGGCGAAGATTCATTCCATGGAGATTCACAGACATGGACTCATCACCATGCCACTTAATCTTTGTCCATGTTCTTTTTGTTGTCAATTGTATTGTTTGCTTATTTGTAACTGCTGTTGTTGCTACAGTCACTAAAGTGACATTCCATTGTCCGGTGACTGGCTCCCTAATGGGCAGTTATTTATAATATTTTCTGTGTATGTGAGTGTGTGTGCCTATGTTTGTGTGTGGGGGTAAGCGATTATTGCATGAATTCATGAATTAATAAGCAGGAAATTTCAATGAAGTTATGAAGCTGGAGGGTAGGCTATAATTCATAATTCTGCATTTGTTTATATTGTTCTTTTTGTTTTTGTTGATGTTGTTGTTTTGTGCCTTAATGCACAAAAAATTGGAACAAGTAAACTAGACATAAATGAATTTATTTATGGAATAAAAATAAAACAAAGGAATGGTAATTGGATAGGAACAAGAAAAAACAGAACGTGATTAACAAAGGTGGAGTAGGATTGGAAAAATATAATTTTCGAACCTACATAAGGCGTGGAATTTTAAAAGAATATTTTCCATAGGCCATCCATCATAAGGCGTGGATTTTTAAAAGAATATTTTTCAGAGGCCATCCATCCATCATAAGGCGTAGATTTTTAAACGAATATTTTCCAGAGGCCATACATCATAAGGCGTGGATTTTTAAAACGAATATTTTTTTAAAGGACCAGCTTGAATAAGGCGTGGATTTTTAAAACGAATATTTTTTTAAAGGACCAGCTTGAATAAGGCGTGGATTTTTAAAACGAATATTTTTCAGAGGCCATCTGAGGCGTGGATTTATTATATGGATTTTTAAAACGAATATTTTTCAGAGGCCATCCATCTGAGGCGTGGATTTTTAAAACGAATATTTTTTGGGGAGGTCTAGACAAGGCGTGGATTTTTAAAACGAATATTTTTCAAGGGCCAACATAAGGCGTGGATTTATTAAAAGAATATTTTTCAAGGGCCAATCAAGGCGTGGATTTTTAAAAGAATATTTTTTAGGGGCCAATACAAGGCGTGGATTTTTAAAAGAATATTTTTCAAGGGCCAACTGAGGCGTGGATTTATTAAAGAATATTTTTCAAGGGCCATCTGAGGCGTGGATTTATTAAAGTATATTTTTCAAGGGCCAACTTTTTCAAGGGCCAACTGAGGCGTGGATTTATTAAAAAATATTTTTCAAGGGCCAACTGAGGCGTGGATTTATTAAAGAATATTTTTCAAGGGCCAACTGAGCCGTGGATTTATTAAAGAATATTTTTCAAGGGCCAACTGAGGCGTGGATTTATTAAAGAATATTTTTCAAGGGCCAACTGAGGCGTGGATTTATTAAAGAATATTTTTCAAGAGCCAACTGAGGCGTGGATTTATAAAAGAATATTTTTCAAGGGCCAACTGAGGCGTGGATTTATTAAAGAATATTTTTCAAGGGCCAGCCATCATCATAAGGCGTGGATTTTTAAAAGAATATTTTTCAAGGCCAGCCATCCATCATAAGGCGTGGATTTTTAAAAGAATATTTTTCAGAGGGCCATCCATCATAAGGCGTGGATTTATTAAAAGAATATTTTTCAAGGGCCATCCATCATAAGGCGTGGATTTTTAAAAGAATATTTTTCAAGAGGCCAACCATTTATTAAAAGAATATTTTTCTATAAGTTATACCCCTTAAGGAAGCTGTAACCTATCTGCCATCATCGTCCAGCGCCTGTACTTTCCATATTGTCAAGTTTATTATCACTTTCAATTTGTCTAAATTTATAATAATAATCAAATGCAAAAAATATGTATGCGGCCTGGTTTTATGGCTACCTTACATATAGCCGACCCCCCTTTCTGGGGAAGCAGAATCCCGACTACCTTGTTTGCCTGGCCTACACACATACATTACATAATTATTATGGTGGAACACATGCAGTCATGGTTTTTGGATTGATGCACAATGTAGGCAATGTGGACAGTGGCCGTTCGGCTGTAAAGCTGGACAATGATCGGAGAGGTAGGCAGACAGGCTAGCGGACGAGGCAAACAGTATCCAGGTGCTCCACTAATCCAAAGTAGATTTGTAAAAAACAAAATCAACAAAGCTAAGAGAGAAGTGACTCCAGGCCTCCAAGTGGCTTAAGACGACATCAAATGGCCAAACATTTATGCGAACATTTGTTGCAGTGGCAACAATAACCCCCGACCATTTCGAGGCATTTCATATCAAATAAATAATAATGCTAATGGCAAACTATATTTGTAGCTGTGTGTGTAAAGCTAATATCATCCATTGACCATATATGGCTCAAAAAAACATTCTTGTGGTGATCGTTGAACGTCCTTTATGTTGTCATCATATTTCGACTACATACTGCGGGGCAGCCAGGTTTTCCATAAACCTTCCCAAAAAAGGATAAATACCATGGAAAATGACCACGATATAATGGCTGACAAATTATGAGCCATAATTTGGAACTCTTTCAAAAATGAGAGAGAGGATCACTGGCATCACTTACATACATACATATGTATGTTCATATTACGCTGGCTGGTGATAGGATGACTTGTACAAACTGACACCGTGACATAATTTTACACTTTTCAGCAGCAAATACATAAAATGCTCCCATGATACACGATTATGCTTCTCGAAGAGTGTTTGTGGCTTACAAAACTGCCACCAAGGAATTCGCCGTAACAGCGGCATGACGTGACATATTGAGGAACTGGTTAAATCCTATTATCCATTTTTTGTTTATTTTTATATGAAAGTATTTAAAAATGGGTGTTAATTACAGACAATGTTTAAATTAGTAATATAAAGAAGTAAGAAAAAAGGCCTGGTTGGTTACTTGAAAAAATATATTTTGATAATATTTACGAATTCTGTTAACACCCGAAAAAATTTAAAAAAATCCACGCCTTACGATGGCCTCTGAAAAATATTCTTTTAAAAATCCACGCCTTACGATGATGGCCTCTGAAAAATATTCTTTTAAAAATCCACGCCTTATGATGGATGGCCTCTGAAAAATATTCTTTTAAAAATCCACGCCTTATGATGGATGGCCTCTGAAAAATATTCTTTTAAAAATCCACGCCTTATGATGGCCTCTCAAAAATATTCTTTTAAAAATCCACGCCTTATGATGGCCTCTGAAAAATATTCTTTTAAAAATCCACGCCTTATGATGGCCTCTGAAAAATATTCTTTTAAAAATCCACGCCTTATGATGGCCTCTGAAAAATATTCTTTTAAAAATCCACGCCTTATGATGGCCTCTGAAAAATATTCTTTTAAAAATCCACGCCTTATGATGGCCTCTGAAAAATATTCTTTTAAAAATCCACGCCTTATGATGGCCTCTGAAAAATATTCTTTTAAAAATCCACGCCTTATGATGGATGGATGGCCTCTGAAAAATATTCTTTTAAAAATCCACGCCTTATGATGGATGGATGGCCTCTGAAAAATATTCTTTTAAAAATCCACGCCTTATGATGGATCTGAAAAATATTCTTTTAAAAATCCACGCCTTATGATGGATGGATGGCCTGAAAAATATTCTTTTAAAAATCCACGCCTTATGATGGATGGCCTCTGAAAAATATTCTTTTAAAAATCCACGCCTTATGATGGATGGATGGCCTCTGAAAAATATTCTTTTAAAAATCCACGCCTTATGATGGATGGATGGCCTCTGAAAAATATTCTTTTAAAAAATCCACGCCTTATGATGGATGGATGGCCTCTGAAAAATATTCTTTTAAAAATCCACGCCTTATGATGGATGGATGGCCTCTGAAAAATATTCTTTTAAAAATCCACGCCTTATGATGGATGGCCACTGAAAAATATTCTTTTAAAAATCCACGCCTTATGATGGATGGATGGCCTCTGAAAAATATTCTTTTAAAAATCCACGCCTTATGATGGATGGCCACTGCAAAATATTCTTTTAAAAATCCACGCCTTATGATGGATGGATGGCCTCTGAAAAATATTCTTTTAAAAATCCACGCCTTATGATGGATGGATGGCCTCTGAAAAATATTCTTTTAAAAATCCACGCCTTATGATGGATGGATGGCCTCTGAAAAATATTCTTTTAAAAATCCACGCCTTATGATGGATGGATGGCCTCTGAAAAATATTCTTTTAAAAATCCACGCCTTATGATGGATGGATGGCCTCTGAAAAATATTCTTTTAAAAATCCACGCCTTATGATGGATGGATGGCCTCTGAAAAATATTCTTTTAAAAATCCACGCCTTATGATGGATGGATGGCCTCTGAAAAATATTCTTTTAAAAATCCACGCCTTATGATGGATGGATGGCCTCTGAAAAATATTCTTTTAAAAATCCACGCCTTATGATGGATGAAAAATATTCTTTTAAAAATGAAAAATATTCTTTTAAAAATCCACGCCTTATGATGGATGGATGGCCTCTGAAAAATATTCTTTTAAAAATCCACGCCTTATGATGGATGGATGGCCTCTGAAAAATATTCTTTTAAAAATCCACGCCTTATGATGGATGGATGGCCTCTGAAAAATATTCTTTTAAAAATCCACGCCTTATGATGGATGGATGGCCTCTGAAAAATATTCTTTTAAAAATCCACGCCTTATGATGGATGGATGGCCTCTGAAAAATATTCTTTTAAAAATCCACGCCTTATGATGGATGGATGGCCTCTGAAAAATATTCTTTTAAAAATCCACGCCTTATGATGGATGGATGGCCTCTGAAAAATATTCTTTTAAAAATCCACGCCTTATGATGGATGGATGGCCTCTGAAAAATATTCTTTTAAAAATCCACGCCTTATGATGGATGGATGGCCTCTGAAAAATATTCTTTTAAAAATCCACGCCTTATGATGGATGGATGGCCTCTGAAAAATATTCTTTTAAAAATCCACGCCTTATGATGGATGGATGGCCTCTGAAAAATATTCTTTTAAAAATCCACGCCTTATGATGGATGGATGGCCTCTGAAAAATATTCTTTTAAAAATCCACGCCTTATGATGGATGGCCTCTGAAAAATATTCTTTTAAAAATCCACGCCTTATGATGGATGGAAAAATGGCCTCTGAAAAATATTCTTTTAAATTTTGAAAATTCTTTTAAAAATCCACGCCTTATGATGGATGATTAAAAATATTCTTTTATTTCGTAGTAGTTTTTTTTATTTTGATCGCCCCAAAATGTTGCAAATGATCCACAAATTCAAATGGCATAAAGAATGCCTCTTCAAAAAATTTTTTTAATTAAATGTTTAACAAGCTCTTGCGGTGGTGAATGAATGAATGACAGACTGAGTGATTTTTGTAAATAATAATTAAATGTTGCTGATGTTGTTGTTGTTGTATTTTTTGCTTTTTGTTGCAACAAATTTGACAAGTCGTCTGTCGGTCGTATCAAACTGATGTTGGTTTGCATTACAATGATGCCATACAATTTCTTCAGTTCTTCCATATTTGTGTGTCTGTGTGAATGTGGAAAACTCACACATACACACACACAGATACACACTCTTAGTTGCATCTTGGCTTAATTAGGTAACAGCTGGTAATTAATAGTAGTGGGTCTTGAGAGATGTCTTGTGTGCAGTGCTCCGTTCGCTACTACTATTGGCATGGCATTACTTCAGTTATTGGCCAATCCATGCAAACCGAGAAGATTTTATTACCGAAAGGGTACCGCCACCAGGCAGACGGATGGATCGAGAGATGGACAGACATCCATCGGTAGCATTTCTGGTGCACTTTTTTTTTGTTGTTGAAAAATGTTGCATGGTGTATATGTGCGTGGTCATAATTGTTTTTGGGCGTCGTTGGTTGCAGTTGCGGTTGTATTGGTAGCCCTGGTATTTAGTTTACCATTGTGGAGAATGGGGCACATGCGTAACCCATATGGCTTGCATTTGAAATTCGAGATGTATATTTCCTGATGTATAAAGTTTTACTATTATCTAACTAGCAACAACAACTGCGACAAGAAAAAATTGCATTATTTGCAAAACTCGATCTTTCGCTTTGATTTGTTCACTTGCCTATGGTCGAAAACAATAGGAGCAGCCAACCAACAACCAGGTTGCAGCAACCACAATCCAATCACTTCAAAAAAGGGAGAAAAATATTTCAAAAAATATTTTGATGAAACATGTGTTCCCAAATAATTTTTGTCGGACACAAAGTGGGCTAATTGTTTAATACACGGTAATTAAAACAAAAAACAACAACAATTAAAATTAATAAATAAAAAAGTATAGGCGTGGATTTTTAAAATGATTTTTTTCAGGGTCTAATAGAGGCGTGGATTTTTAAAATGATTTTTTTCAGGGTCTAATAGAGGCGTGGATTTTTAAAAGAATATTTTTTGAAGCTCCCATAGAGGCGTGGATTTTTAAAAGAATATTTTTTGAAGCTCCCATAGAGGCGTGGATTTTTAAAATGATTTTTTTCAGGGTCTAATAGAGGCGTGGATTTTTAAAATTATTTTTTCCGGGTCTGATAGAGGCGTGGATTTTTAAAATTATTTTTTCCAGGTCTGATAGAGGCGTGGATTTTTAAAATTATTTTTTCCAGGTCTGATAGAGGCGTGGATTTTTAAAATGATTTTTTTCAGGGTCGAATATAGGCGTGGATTTTTAAAAAGATTTCTTTCAGGGTCTAATAGAGGCGTGGATTTTTAAAATGATTTTTTTCAGGGTCTAATAGAGGCGTGGATTTTTAAAATAATATTTTTTAAAGGACCTATAGAAGGCGATAGAGGCGTGGATTTTTAAAATGATATTTTCAGGGTCTAATAGAGGCGTGGAAGTTTAAAATGATTTTTTTAGGGTCTAATAGAGGCGTGGATTTTTAAAATGATTTTTTCAGGGTCTAATAGAGGCGTGGGTTTTAAAAATGATTTTTTTCAGGGTCTAATAGAGGCGTGGATTTTTAAAATGATTTTTTTCCGGGTCTAATAGAGGCGTGGATTTTTAAAATGATTTTTTTCCGTGTCTAATAGAGGGGTGGAATTTTAAAATGATTTTTTTCAGGGTCTAATAGAGGCGTGGATTTTTAAAATGATTTTTTCAGGGTCTAATAGAGGCGTGGATTTTTAAAATGATTTTTTTCCGGGTCTAATAGAGGCGTGGATTTTTAAAATGATTTTTTTCCGGGTCTAATAGAGGCGTGGATTTTTAAAATGATTTTTTTCCGGGTCTAATAGAGGCGTGGATTTTTAAAATGATTTTTTTCCGGGTCTAATAGAGGCGTGGATTTTTAAAATGATTTTTTTCCGGGTCTAATAGAGGCGTGGATTTTTAAAATGATTTTTTTCCGGGTCTAATAGAGGCGTGGATTTTTAAAATGATTTTTTTCCGGGTCTAATAGAGGCGTGGATTTTTAAAATGATTTTTTTCCGGGTCTAATAGAGGCGTGGATTTTTAAAATGATTTTTTTCCGGGTCTAATAGAGGCGTGGATTTTTAAAATGATTTTTTTCCGGGTCTAATAGAGGCGTGGATTTTTAAAATGATTTTTTTCCGGGTCTAATAGAGGCGTGGATTTTTAAAATGATTTTTTTCCGGGTCTAATAGAGGCGTGGATTTTTAAAATGATTTTTTTCCGGGTCTAATAGAGGCGTGGATTTTTAAAATAATATTTTTCAAAGGTTACCCCAAGGCGTGGATTTTTATAAGCGTGGATTTTTAA